TTTTTTTTTTTTTTTTTTTGCTGCAGTTACAAATTACTGGAAATTTAGTGCCTTAGAGTAGCACAAACTTACTTATTTATAATTCAGAGCCCGGCTCCAGTTTCACTGGGCTAAAACCAAGGTGTCCGCAGGACTTCCTTTCTCTCTGGAGGCTCCTTAGGAGGCTTTTGTAGCTTCTGGAGGAGGCTCCCATTCTTTGGCCCGTGGCCCCTCACATCTGTACACAGCTGTACGCTACACCACAGCCTCTCAACCGCCGTTACTGTCCTCTTCCTGATCCTGACTCTTCTGCCTCCCTCTATCTGAAAGTGAGCTGATTGACAACCTTAACTCTATCCGTAGCCCACAGAACACAACATGGTCGCAGGTTCCAGGGATTAGGACGGAGACCTCCGGATGCATTACTCTGCCTACCACAGTCATGGATTTTGTTCTGCATTAATTCAGATCTTTAAAAATATTTCGTTAAAAGCCAGGCATGGTGGCACGTGCCTGTAATCCTAGCATTCAGAAAGCTGAGGCAGGAAGCTCATGACTTCCGGGCGAGCGTGGACTATACAATAAGACCCTGTCTCGAGAAACACCCCCCATCATTCAAATGTTATTGAATTAATGAGGATTACTGGACCCCTCTAGATTCTACGCCTGGAGTGAGGCATGGTAGCCCAGGCCCAGCCTGGGATTCCCCCCGGCCCCCTTCCATGCTCCACTCCTGCCCACCAAAGCGTATGGGGCTCAGGCTGCCCTGACCAGGCGAGTCGTTGGGGCCCTCCTGTCCCCGCTGTGCTCTTCTCAGAGGTGGGGGCTCACTGCAGAGTCCGGGCTGGAAGAGAACTTGTTCTGTTCAACTTCCCCTAGGCCCCAGGGAGGAGCCGGCTCTCAGCCCTTGCACACCTGATCGTCCCCAGTGGCTGCGGAGATGTAGCCTTCCAGGCTGCCAAATGCAGGGAGGACGGGGCTCCGGAGGAGTGGGGAGGAGAGCTGAAAGAGGATCCTGTCCTGCTTGAAGGTCAGGGCCAGCCGGCGGGTGTCTGGCCACCGCAGGAAGGGGGGCGCTGGAAAACTGATGCAGCTCCCAGACTGGAGAGGCCCCCGGGAGGGAGGAGGCAGGGTCTGGTGCCAGCCACTCTGCTAATGTCACAGAGGACACTGCTGCAGGGCCAGGGGCGGTGGAGAAAAGGACTGGGAAAGGAGGGTCTGAGATCCAGGGGTTGCGGGGCCCACGAAGTCCACAGTGCAGGCAGCCAGTTCTCAGAGACAGGGAGGAAGGAGGGGAAGAGAGGCCGAACGAACATACTGGCTTCTACATCTGTGGGAGCCTATGTTTCGGATCTCACCCTCGCATGGCATTCTGGGGTCCCCAGAGCACACACACTCTCACCCCAGGGGGCAGGCAGGAGGACCCCATGGTTCTGCAGGAGAACAGCTCCGTGCAGGAACTTCCAACTTCCACCAGGCTCCAAGAACCCTCAGGTCACCCACTTTGTCTTTGTCTCTCTCCCCAGAAGGGACAGTGACGGTGGAGACTGGGGAGATGAGGGTCCCCAGGCCAGATCAGGGACGTCCCGGTCCTGGGGCCATCACCACTGCCAACCAACAACAGCGTATGGGGTTCCCAATATCCCTACGCAGGACGATGCTGAGCTCAACTCCTCCCCTGTGCTTAACGCTCCACGGAGCACTCGAGCCAGAGGAGGAGCCAGCACCAGGGTTCTGGGGGGTCGCCCTCGCTGTCTCCCCTCATGGTGCTCAGAACTGCCTGGTCTTCAGAGGGTCACGCTGTGCTGTGGAGCTGCAGGTCTCCACCCCTGCCGTGCCTTCTGGGTGTCTTCCTGACCCTACTTCTCACTGGGTGAGACGAAGGTCCCACTCGGGCCACCAGCCTCTGCTTGCTGTGAGTGCATCAAGATTTCAGACAAAGTGGCTTCCCGAGCACATTCTGCCCACTCCTTCCTCCCCCTCCACACACAGTTCATTTCATGGTGCCTAGAACGCTGCAGGGAACACAGCAGGGATGGGCAACGATTAATTAAAGTCACTTCTCTCCCTGCTGCTGGGGCAGAGATCCCAGGCACTTGGAAGGCAGTGGGCTCTTCGTGGGTCCCCTTGGCCGCACACAAAGCCCTCCGCCTGTGTCTGGCACCACCTGGTGGGAGGCAGGGGTCACACGGTGCCTTCTCAGGGGCCCCTTCCCACGGCCTCAGGGCGAGGGGACGGCAGTTCCCACGAGCAGCTGCGGGTCTTCTGACACCGGAAGTGGTGGAGATGGCGACACCGGAAGTGACGGAGTGGCCCTTTGCGCCCCGCCCTCCTAGGCTGCTGATCCTGCTGAATGTGTCAGGCGAGAGCCAGGTGCGAATTCCGTGACCGAGGCGCAAAGGAAGTTGAACTTGGTAAATTGTCCACCAAGGGCAGTGAGCAAGGTCACCGGGAATCACAAACAGGTGGCGAGAGGAAAGAGGGAGGTGGAGCTGTCCAGATACTGTGCAGGGAGACTGAGAGGCTGGGGTGGGGGCGGGGCGGGGGGGAGGCGGGGGGGGGGGGGGAATAAGGCAGGGGGAGGAGGGAAATTCACACAGAAGAGGAGGGAGGAGAGATCTGCCTCTGTGCAGCCCGGAGCAGGTGAGCTGGTGGGGCCCCTTGGGGCGGACCGCTGCGCAGCCTGCAGCCTCTGCTGGAGGAGGGGCCGTTTGCACCTGACCCGAGCTTTCTCAGAGCCTCCAGGTGCCTGAATGTCTCCTGTTGGAGAAGAGGAGGCTTGGATGGTGCCCGGGGGCGCCGGTGACCAGAGGGGCCAGAGGCCCTCATCCAGGCCCACCAAAGCCAAGCCTCCTGTCCCTCCCCTGGGCCCAATCAGAGGCTTAGAGTGCAGAGCTGCCAACTTATTGCTCAAAGGACCTGAGCTGTTGACCCGCAACTAATCACTAATGGTTTGCATATTTTGCATATCATTTGCATTCTCCGAGGGTCCTGCAAGCCCTCTCTAGAGCCCCTGTCTCTCAGGGCTCCCTCTCACCTCTCTCTGTCCCCCCTTCTCCAGGCCCAGCCCCACAGTCCCCCACCCCCCCACCATCACTTAGGGCAAGTCAGGGGTGGGGTAACTCAGACCCCAGGCCCCACCATTTGTGATTTGAGGGTGCAGCCGGGGGAGCTAGGAAGGGAGTGGCTGAGATCTGTCTGGTGATTAATCCTCCTGCTAATGGAGGCTTCTCTGCCACCAGGGCTTTTACTGAAACTCAGGGAAACCCTTTAGCGCTGTCTCTGAGGTCCTTAGCGGGCTCATTAGCAGCCCTTCCCCCTCACAATTAGCAGAACGGCTGTGGAGAGGAGAGGAGACCTGCGTGGGGCCTCGAAGGCCCAAGGCCATCAGCTTCTAGAACCCCTGCAGCCTGTGCTGCTCCTCACCCTGCACGCTCACTGGAACTCCTCTTCCTGACAAAGTGTGCATTTCAGCTGCAGAAGACTACGCGGGCCTCACTGGTGAAGCAAGCGCCACTGCAGTCAGTTGTCCAGCCTCCCTGGCGTTGGGAAAGGCAGCCCCAAGAATTTGGGGGTCAGGCAAGCCACTAACCTAGGCAGGATCCACCCCAGACTAGAGGCCAAATGTGACCACCCCTTGGAATTCTCCATGGGCCCAGGATGCTGGGGTTCTTTGTGCCCTGGGCCAGACCCACTTCACCTGCTGTAAACTCTACTGCCTGTCCCAGGGAAGTTTAAGGCACAGGAAGCTTCTCCAAGGGAAAGACCCTGGGCAGAGGGCACAGCGGGCAGCAGCCATGTCTGCCAGTAAGGGTTGCCAAGGGGGGCAGATGGCACAGAGAAGGGCCTGTTGTTTTCGTCAATTCCACAAACAGGAGCTGCTGCCCTGAGCTGGGCCCTGTGTTAGGTACAAACAGACAGAAGTGAAAGGGACACGTTTGGCTTTTAGTATATGGCTTAGCAAAACGGATGAGTGATTTGGGGCGATTTTTTAAAATTCCAGGGCCTTGTGTATACTAAGCCAGCATTCTACCAGCCCTAGAGCAAACCTTTTCAATTATTCTGGAATTCAGCTTCCCCAACTGTTTAATGGAAACCTGACTTGATGCTCCAGGAAGCCCAGAAGGCTTCAGAGAATCCGGTCTTGGAGAGCCGTAACGGATGATGGTATTTCCACGGTAGAATTCCCCAGCACAGCACCTGACCCGTGCGTGCTCAGTGAAAGGTCAGTGCCTCAATGCTGTTATTATTCTGTTGAGGTGGTTGCTGTTGAAATGACTTTCAGACCTCAGGGTCCCAGGCAGCAATCTCCTTTCTGGGCTCCCTACCAATTACAGGATCGAGGAAATGGCGTGCATTAAGCATTTAGCGTGTGCCGGATACCGTGTTGGGTATTTTGTATGTTATGTCATTCTCATTATTATCCATCACGACCCTTAATATCTTTCCTCCTTCCCATTTTACAGGTGAGGAAACTGAGGCTTGAAGACATTAGGTCCAAGTTCACAATGCCCTTAATGTGAAGAGTGCAGAGTGGTACAAGAATGTTCGTGGAACTTTATTCCTCATGGCCCCAAACTGAGTAGAGCCCAGCTGTCTGTAGCACCAGGAGAATGGTTTAAGTGAATTGTGGGCTATTCATGCAATAGAATGCTCCGGGGAAGGGGATTTAGCTCAGTGGCACTGCACCTGCTTGTAAGTGCCAAGTTCCTGAGTTTGATCCCCGGTACCACCAAAAAAAAACCAAAACAGTGCTCCAGACCAACAAAAAACACAGTCACTGCAACAAACAGCAGTGTGGACAACAGACATGATGGTGACTGAAAGAAGCCATCCATCAAACACTGCCCGACTGTGTGAAGTTTGCTCACGAGTAAAACCCACTGTGATGGTCGCAGTCCGAATAAGAGTTCCTACACAGGCCAGGTGGGGTGGGCCACCGGACTGGGATCGTGTTGTGAAGGGGCTGCTGGGGGTGCCGGAAGTGTGTCCTACTTTGATCTAAGTGGCTAGTGGTCACAGGGTGTGTGTGTACATGTACGTGTGTAAAAACTCATCCTCTGCACCCGTAGCTTTTTCCCAATAAGGAAGTAAGTCAACATAATATATATGTATGGATATATAATCTATGTATGCATCAACTTGGAAGACTTAGGGCCAAATCAACTCTGGCTTTGTATCCTGGCAGGAAGTGGGGACGGCAGGCAGACCCCGCCCACCCCCCTTTCTTTGGAGGGAGAAGCCCTGAGTCTGCACAATGTGCGGATTGCACTTTTAATTGCTACCCCCGCTTGATCTGCATCCTGTCTTCCCCAGCTCTAACCCTGGGGAAGGTGCTGACCAAGCCTGTGCCCCCTCTGCCCCAGGCAGGGAGGGGAGTGGGAGCCAGGAAGTGAAGGAAGGGGAGAAGGAAGAGGGAGGAGAAAAGAGAGGCTGGCAAGGGGTGAGTAGGGTACATTTCCAGGAAGCCTCCAGGGGTGCCGATTTGGGTGAGGTCAGTTTAATGAGAACTTTTAGGCCCCCAGGGAGGAGGCCCAGGGCTGGCAGGCTCCTGGGAGCCTGAGGGAGCAGAGTCCTTTCTGTGCATTTTGATGCATCATGAAGCACATTCGCCCTGAGCGCTCAATGATATGCCAGCACATGTCCCACAGGGCAGGGCTGGAGCCGGCTTACGGGCAGAGCTCCCGCACTCGGACTCCTGCTGGCTGGCGTGTCCGGACCCAGCTGCCCCCACAGATTCGGGGGGGCAGAGCCAGTGCCCCGCCCCAGGCTCAGGCCTGGTGCAGGTGCCTTCAAGCCCGGAGCTCACCCCGGCCTCCCCTCCCTCCTGCTCTGCTCTACCCATCCATCCACCCACCATCTTTTCTTCATCTCTGTATTTCTGACCTCCTCCCTCTCTCTCTGCTCCACCCTGGGCTCTGTTTTCTCCACAGTCTGTGCCTGTCTCTCCACCTCCATCCCCCCTTCCCCTGCTGCCCCTCTTTCCCTCCCCACCCTATTCCTGGGCTTGTGCTTCCTCTCCAGCCCAATATAAATAATAGAAATTAATTTGTCAGCCAGGACACGCGGCCCAGCCGGCGCAGCAGTGAGCTGAGGAGGAAAAGCTGGTTGAAATAATTATTCTTGACTTAAGAAACCGTTCTTTTTATTCCTGAAGGCTAATGGAGTGGGAGCCGTTCCTGGCCGGGCTGCGCGGATGCCAGTGGCTTGGAGAGGGCAACTGGCTGCTCTTCCGATCCCTCTGTAGTGAACAGACAGGACCCCCCATCTCACACTCCATTTCAAAGGCAAATGAAGCACTGAGGGGTACTCGGGTGGGGCGACGCGGCACAGGTGCGTCTGGAGAGGGGCTTTGTTCCTGCAAACCCTCCCTCTAGTCCCTAAACACTGGACCAGGTGCGGGCAGGAGTGGAGCAGAAGCTACGCATGCCCGAGGGGGAAGAATCTGCCTTTTCCCCAGGTCCTGCTGCGGGAGGCCGGGGACTGTGCTGGGCCCCCCCAGCGGTGTCCTTACACCTCCCGAGGGCTGAAGTTTGCCAGTGAGTCTGATGTTTCCCGCCAGAAAACTGAGCACAGGAGCAACTTGTCCGAGGCCAAGGGGAAGAGTCCCCATGGACTGGACAGGACAGGACCCGGGGAGATAAACCACTTCTATCCCTCCAGCAAGAGGGGCCGGAGAAGCACGCCGTGGTGGGGGGCTGAGGGCGTGGGGCCACGCTCCTGGGCTTACCTGCAGGGGTACAATGGGGAGACCATTTACAGAGGCGTGGGTGGCCCCAAGGAAACCAGTGAGAGATGTTGTGGGTGCTCCGGGAGGGTGACCCCGTGGACATGAAGGGGGACAGGGGAGATGCTGTTAGCAATCTGACCGGCGCTGTAGCTGGGGGAGCCGGCGACCACTCAGGGAGGTAAAGGCAGCCACTGCCCACCTGTAGCCTGCGGAGAGCAGGGATGGGGAAGACGCCTGGCCTCTCCCTCCTCCTGCCCTCAGATCTGGCCAGCCTGCCCAATTTGCAGCCAGAGCATAAGCTTCTTCTCCCTGTGGTGCAGCCCTGGGCATGGCCATCGCTCCCGGAGCACGGAGCAGAGAAGGGAGGGCAGGAAGTGACCTGGAGGACAAGAGGGTAACCAGCCCCCATGAGAGGTTCAGAAGGAAACTTGGAGGAAGAGCAACTGGACCCGAAAGAGCCTACAGACTTCAGGGGGAAGGAGGGAAAAACCCCAGTCCTGGAGCAGAATCCCTGTCTGCTGGGGAGCCACCGAGTCTGGGTCCTTGAAATCAGACATCAGCTGGGGAAGCCAGAGACCGCTCCCCCCACACACACACAGCAGATGCCCTGAGCAGGACAGAGCAAATGGTTTCCTGGAACAGTCTTGGTATCTACCTGCAAGAGTGCAGGAGGAGGGAGGAGGGGACACAGCTAATGGAGTGATTACCAGGTGCTGGAAAAGAGATGAGAGACTGCAGAGCTGTGACAGGCAGGGCAGAGTCAGAGAGGCCTCTCGGTAGGAAGGGGCCCTGGAAGGCAGGGAGTGCGGGAGCCAGGTTACTGGGCAGGAGGCTGAAGGCATGGGGGCAGCTCGCCTTATCCCCCTTCTGGCTGGAGGAGAGGGAGAGCAGCCAGAGAACGCTGTGTCTCCTCGGTCCCCGCGGGGGCGGCAGGTCGGGCTTGGGGGATGAAGAGCCCAGCTGGCTTCCCTGCTGCCCCCACGCCCCGCATCCCCTCCGTCTCCCTTGCACACAGCAGCCACCGGGACCTTGGAAAACACTACCCCGATCCTGTCAGTCACGCCTGAGTCCTTTGGACGCTCCCCACTGTCCGATGAGGTCTAAAGTCCTTCACGGCTACAGGGCCAGCCCACAGCACCCCAGGCCGCCCCATACTGAATCGCAAGTGCCCAGAAGATCTCCTGCCCGCCTCTCGTGCAAGTGGTTCCCTCTGCTTAAAACTGCCCCTTCCCACGCGGCTGCTGCCTGATTGCCTCCCACCCGGCTGGCTACAGCTGCCGCTTTGCAAGTCCAGAGTGTGAGCCACTGCACCACAGGCACTGGCGTGGCTGCCGCCCTCTTGGGGAGCCTCTCGTTCCCCTGGTTTCCCCTTCTCCCGTTGCAAACCTCATTACCCTTACGCCACACGGGCTCCTGCCTGTGCCCTGTCTTCGTCTCCCCTGACTGCACATCCAGGGGTGCAGGAACTTTGCACGGTTGGCTGTTGTTACCCCGCTGCCAAGGAAGCTCAGAGCCTGGCACTTGGTGTGTGTGTGTTACGAGACAGGCCGCGGAGCCCAGGCAGCGGCACACACAGGAGGAAAGCCTGAAACGCCCTGCGCTGGAGTCGCCGCCACCAGGACGCTCTGGGTCTTTGCCCTCCCTCAACAACGAAGGGGCCAGGAAGCAACTCCAGTAGGAAGGATGCCAGTTAGACGGCAGAAGAAAGGAGTTCTGGAAGGAAAGGGCTGAGCTCAGCTCTCTGCCATCTAGGCTCCCAGGACCTCAGGGCCACCTAGAGGGCAGGGGCTGAGTCTGTTCGGCCTCCTCCCTCCCTGGAGATAAGCTGACCTTTCTGCCCTTTGACCCCGGGGCCAGATCAAAGTGGGCAGCCTCCCCCACATTCACATCCACCCTCTGCCCCGCCAGCCAATAAAGCTGGATTATCTTAGAGTAAAGCCATATTGCAGACTGTGCCGAAAGGTCCAGCACTTCCAGGACAGCTGGCAGAGGCCTAAGGTGTGCTGAGGGGGAGGAAGGAGGTGTCAGGGACCCAGAAAAGAAAGAAAGCTCCAGCTCTCTGGTCCCATGCACCCCATAACCAGCCCGGTGACTGCACCCATGCCTTCTCTCCAAATGCAGCTGCCCAGCCTGAGGTGCCCTGGCGCTGATCACTGTGTGTGTGTGTGGAGAAGCCCTAAGCCTCTCTAAACAGCGAGCTCAGCCTCCCCAACCCCGTGCTGTATACCAGGCCCAGAGACCTCCCCAGAGCTCTTCCCTTGCCTGGCCTTAGACGAAATACGGCAGATCAGTCTTCAGAGCTGGGGACTGCCAGTACCATTGGCTTAGGGTGTCTGGGGAACACCCCAAGATTTATACCCTTTCCAGATGACGTAGGAATGGGGTCACCTCTCCCTGGTCCTGCGTCAGAGGGCAGACGGTAAGGCCATGTTACATTTCTTAACTGAGATATATAAGCAGTCGAGTACACAAGGCCAAAATGTTCAACCCCACTAATTTTTACACACGTAATACGTACGCCCTTGGTACCACCACTCAAATCGAGTTTCACACCACTCCGACGTCTCCAGCCCCTCCAAATGGGTAGCCCCCTCCCAGGCAACAGCCCTCAAAGGTGGCCGTGATTATGGTCTCTAATGCCATAAATCGGCACTGCCTTTTCTCGACCCTCATATGGGTAGGATCTTGGGGCAGGTGCTCTCGTTTGGCCTGGATTCTCTCCTCCGACATCGTATCTGTGAGATTCAGCCATGCTGTTTCATGTGGTCCCAGGAATTCTTTTCATCACCCAGTGGTATTTCATTCTAGAAACAGGTGCATCCCTGCCGATGTATATCACAGTTTGTTTACTCGTGTTCTTATTGGTGGGACATTTATATTGTTTGCAGTTGTTGGCCATTATTAATGAAGCCGCTATGAATATCCTTGTATCTTGTATGAATCTCTTCGTGTAATTTTGAGACACTTACTTAACTTTGAAACCAAACAACAATACCTCACTTTTCACCTCCTCTCATTGCGCTGTGCCAAGCTGGGATAAAATTATTCTGAATGTGAGATATGAGGGCAGCCTCAGATGGATTCCATGAGTCTCCTCCGCAGCCTCGGGGCGCTCCTGGCACAGCTGAGCAACCAGCTAAGGTCTGTACCATCAACTCAGGGGCAGAGAAATGTGGAAAAGTTTCTTGAAACCTTAGTGGCTGTCTCTAGCACAAATTTTATTTATTTATTTATTTATTTGTTTTGTTTTTTGAGATGGGGTCTTGTTATGAGTTCAGACTGTACTTGAACTCACTGTGTAGCTCAGGCTGGCTTCAAACTCAGAGATCCTCCTGCCTCAGCCTCTGGAGTGCTGGCATTACAGGTGTGCGCCACCACACCCAGCCAGACTAGCACAGATTTTAAATAAGGAGCACATTTGTCCTCCTTTTCCTTCTTTTTTTCCCCTCGGTATCGGGAATCGAACCCAGGACCTTGGGCTTTCAAGGCAGGCACGGTGCCACTGAGCTGAATCCTCAGCCCTAAAGTGTAAGATCTCCGAGCCTCCATTTCCTCACTAGAAAAACAAGAATAATGATATTTACCTCATAGGGCTGTCAGGAGAATTACACAGTAGATGTAAATCACCTACATAGCACTTGGCATCTATAATAATATTGTTTTTTTACTTGTTTGTTTTCTGCTCAAGGTCGTAGCTAGTGAGCAGATACACTCAGAAAGCTCTTGAAGGCAGAGGAAAAAGAAACACTTTCGAGTGTCCAATTAGGGACTGTGGCAATGATCTGTGTTTTTGTATTCCCAGTGTTGAGCATATAGTTGACACTCGATAAATGCATAACTGAGTGGAGAAATCAACAAATAAATCCAAAGATTCACACCAGAAATTGCTCCGAAGCCTGGTTTTACATGTATTTGTTTGTTTGTTTGTTTTCGAAGCCTGGTTTTAGACTTGGCTACCGAGTGGGACTGATTGGGACAGAGATATCAGCGGGGTGGGGCTAGCAGGGCAGCTGGTGTGAATAGCACAGATGCTCCATGCTCGGCAAGCTCTCACCTCGCCCCGGAGAGGCCTCTTGGCCCCATAGTCTGAATGCGTGTCAGGGAGCAGGGAGACGGCTGCAGGGGAGAGAAAGGTTTGGGGAGCTGGTGTCCAAGAGCGGGCTGGGGGAGCCTTTTGGGCCAGGAACGCCATTCCTTGGGAACAAACCAAAGGGGGCTGTGGGGGCTGGGCTTGGATCTAGCAGCATCAAGAGGTCAGCCAGGGCCCCTGGAGATTACACGAGGCGCCCACAGCCACCTCGGTCCCTCTCAAAGCCCTGGGGCCAGTGAGCAAGTTTGCCAAGGATGCGCTCGGGGAGCC